GCCCGCCCCGTTTGGGAAAACTCCCCCCCCCTGTTTCAATCGTTGCGCCACGTTTAAATTACCTCCGCCCCGATTAAATTCCACCACAATAACAGTTTGACAGCGTGGGAATCGATCGTCAAGAATTCCCATTCGACCAGGACCTCCGACGCGTGTATTTTTACCGTACCACTAATGCGTAACGTTCTACACTACGCATGCGTTGCAGCCCCACACACAAGTACAAACAGTCACCCTGTCTCAAACCCAACCCCTAACACTAACTGTAAACCGACTCGGCTATCTTATATACAAGTACCCCAAATACCGTCTATGGTGTGGTGGCGATTTTACGCATTAGTGGTACGGTAAAAAAACACGCCCCCGGACCCCCCTAGTTTACCTGTAGTTACCTGTTTCAATTTCATCCTGGGGAGAACCCTGATAGCCCCCTGGACCCCCCTAGCATGCAAACCGCCTTCGGCGATTTGCAACTAGGACCGTAAAGGCAACACCCGCCATGTTATAATGAAAAAGCTTGGAGAACCCTGCCGTGTGTTAGCGACTGAATTGTTGCTATCAGGACTGTTCGCTGACCAATATGCTAGAATGTTTGGCTAAGTTATATGTAATTGTTCCATATTAGAAGGGAGCTCCATTGTAAATATCATCAATTTCAGTTTTATACTGCCTGATGATATCTTGTTTGCAAACCTTATTTTAATTGTAACGTTGTTAACACTAGTTTTGCAATAAACCTATTATCTATTTATCTATCTATCAGCTCACGAGCATTGATTGTATCTTGGTATTTGTAGGGATATAATGATGGATTTAGTGCAGACGTGATTTTTTTTTCTGTGGTACCATTCTGTACATGAATTTTACTTGAAATCAGCTTGTGTTAGATATGGCTATTTAGTGGGATCTAGGCCACTCGCTGCAGCCTAAGTGTGCCCACTCGCACTCTATCTATATATATAAACATCATGAGTGTCTAACACTCTGCTGAGCTCTGTTGACTTCACCTTTTTTTATCGGCTCCGATTTTAGTATTCCTGCATGCAATGCTACTTTCTAACTATCCTCTGAATCGCTGATAATAGGTTGGTTAACAATCTACCCGCCAGTTAGGAAAATCAACCTGTCAAAATTAGTTGGTGAAATTTGTAAAACATTCGTCCCAAACCAATGATCACTACTAATAGTACATAGTAGTGATCATTGGTTGTTTGGGACTAATAGTAGTACTATGACCACGCAAACCGCTGGCCCAAGTTGCCAGCTGTGCTAGATCAGCTAAAACAACCGATCAGCTCAGTCGGAACCCCCCACGCCCACCCACCCACACGGTGTGTGTGCTCATGGTAGTTGTCATTAGTGTTCTCAGTAGTTAGAGACCATAGTGTTTATATATAGATGTGGTGCGAAGGGTACACACGATTCTGCTGCCAGTGATCCAGGCATGGACAACTACTGCTACCAGGGTTCTCCCCAGGATGAAATTGAAACGGGGGGGGGGGAATTTCCCGCCGGAAAATTTTGAGATCTTAGATGCTCTGTGGTGCATTCTGAGGCATTTTGGGACATATTTGAGTTGATTTGTTTTCTCTGATCTGGTGTGTCATTTTTTATATTTTTTGTTTTTAAACTAGGGTTTATCATTATGGGATAACTTGAAGGCAACTTGTAATTTTTTCGGGCAAGTACATAAAAATGAACATAACACAAGGCATCAGTTTAGTGGATGTATCATTTATTGACATGTATTGCAATAAGCAGGATCTTTTCTGTGAAACTTCATCATCAATGTCATGATTCATTCACTGTGACTCTACTTTGTCACATCTACTCGACGCTGGCGCATGGCAGCCCAACGGTCAACTGCCTGGTCGAATGGGAATTCTTGCCGAGGTGGCCCCTCAATTGCCAGTAGCAGCAGCGCCTCCAAAGCTCACTCACTCAGCCTGTTCCTCATGTAGTTTTTGACTATGCGCATGTGTGAACTGTTCAAAAGAGCTCTCTGCTGATTGGCTTAGTAGTGAGGGTGACCAGCCAATCACAGCGAAGCACACAAGTGTGCTTTGGTTACTGCTCGCAAAATGACGGCATCAACAAACGATCGATTCCTGCGCTGTCAAACTTTTATTTTGTTTAACTGTCACTCTGAAACTCCGCTGAAAATAGTGTATTTCAATTCGGCGATAACATTTCCTATCTGGGTGGTGGAATTTAAACGTGGCGCAACGATTGAAATGGGGGGAGGAGTTTTTCAAACGGGGCGGGTGCGCCCGGTTTGCGCAACGTATGGAGGGGCCTGGCTACTTAACCTGGTTTCATTTTTAACCCAATGTATCAGTGATAGTGCATGAAGTGCTGTCGTGTTCTTTCCTGTCACAATAATTTGGAAATGTTTCCTAATCTGAATGTTTGCATGTGCAGGTTGCTGACACAGGTGCGACAGCCACATATGTGTCTCCCTACACCAGCAGTACCGGTTATACTGCGCAGCCGGCCTATTCAACACACACAACCTATAGTCAACCTCCCAGTGGGGGTGTGTCGATGTATTCCAACTCGGCTACCTATAACAAACCAAGTAAGATCACTTGAATTGGTAAATTATAAAATGTTGACTGCACTGGAGCTTTTATTGCATTTCAGCTAAAAACCAAATCGTGAAATGTTAAACAAACTTTAACATGTGGCAATGTGCACTTTTGAACAAGGGAGTCCAACGGACTCCCTGCCCTCAAAACGACCGAGTCTGCGGCAAAATGAGGGAGTCCGCAGTCTGAAGTTCAAAATTAAAGATATTAACAATAACGCATGTGCTTATTTTGAAGATTCATGCGGTTGCATGTCTGCCAAATTTTCTTTGGATATTTGCTGGAAAAATACGGTAATTCCATGAGGCCGTGCTCTGGAATGAACTAGTTAGTATGGCAGAATTTTGAGGGAGTCACACGGACTCCTGCATATGTCAAATCAGGGAGTCCGGCAGTAAATCAGGGAGTATTGGACTCCGGACTCCCGTTAATTTAGCACCCTGCTAGTGCATGTTCTTTTCTGTCGAACGGGAACGAAATTACGATAAGCAGACTGACTTGAATGTTTCGGACTCTGAGGTCGCGGTGGGATTAGGCTGTGGTACTTTATTCGTGTTAGTTTGTTATGTGTCTATAGGAGGTGGAGCTGTTGGACGCGGCGGAAACATGTATGGCAGCGGCACGAAGCACTACCAGCCAGCGAGCAAGCCATTCCAGTCGAGCGCTACTTTCAACAGCGGTGGCGCGTCTAAGCCGTACAATGCGGGTGCGAACACCTCGTACAACAAGCAGACAGGTGAGCATGCTAGTTTCCACACTAAGTTTCAATGAGATGGTCTGACTCTGTCTCGCTGCGTTTTGTTAGGGTAAAATCTGGCTTTTGGTAATGTGATGTTCGGAATATTATCAATTGAATGCTGAAATATTGAAAACCAAACGTTAAAATCGTTTTCAACTAAGTTATGTAATGTTTGTAACACATACTTGTTTGTATAGACTATAGTTTCGGTAGTTATCAAATTTAAACTTTTAATATCGTGTTGTTAACACGCTTACGGTGTGAAGTGGGTGCAAGTGAATGACTATTTGTGCCCAGCTGAAAATCTGGTCTTTTATTGCAGGAACAAATACACAGACTCCCTATGAGAAAGCTGTGCTCACTGCTGCTAGCAGCTACATAAAGCAGAAGAATGTTCCCGGAAGTAAGCCAGGTGTCCAGAGTCCTGTCGTCGGTGGGTCTGCCGGCGCAGGTACTAGTGGAAAATTCCAGAGCTACAAGCCTCAGTACGGGCAGAATAAGGGACTTGGGCAGGCACCACGCGTGCCCAAGCCACAGCAGATGCACTACTGTGAAGTGTGCAGGATTAGTTGCGCCGGTCCCCAGGTAAATAACGTGGATTCAATTCTGTTTCTCTCACGACAACCCATTAGCAGCATCTCTCTATTAATATAGTACAGTATGAAAGGAGATTCTGTACGGGTTGCCACTTAAAGTTTGGAACTAGATAAGTTATTACAGACTAAAGAGTGTGAAGTGTTTGGTTATGGGAAGTTGAATCGTGGTATAATCTAATAGATTAATCGACGGAAATCAATTCGGTTTTTGTTCAGACATATAAGGAGCATCTGGAAGGGCAGAAGCACAAGAAGAAGGAGGCGGCCGTAAAGGCGGGCAACGCCAACAATGCGACTCTGGGACAGAACGCACTGCGCTGCGAGCTATGTGACGTCACCTGCACCGGTCAGGACGCGTACAACGCTCACATCCGCGGCTCCAAGCATCAGAAAGTATGTCCAAGTAACCGTGCCGCCCATTGTCATGGTTTTCGTTTCGAGTCTGGAGTCTATAATAGCAAACGGTGTTCATTCCCCTGATGTTAACTCTGCAGTAGAGTAACTGTGCATGTACACGATATAGTACCATGATCTATAGCTGGATGTGTTAAGCAATATATTGCAGACATAACAACTTTAGATTCTAACCTACAGTTAACCGAATTGCTATTAAACAAACATGAATACATGTCAACAGGGGTGAATAAACAAAATAAATGAAAAATAGTATCATTTGTTTTAATTCATCCCCGATACGATGTAAATAGCAGTCCTCTAGCATTGCATTCTGATAAAAAAATACTGCCTATGAGCCTTGAAAATGATAGTCTGATATGTTTACGTAAGTAATTTGCAAGTATATGCATTACCCTTGTGCACACAGGTTGTCAAGCTTCACACAAAGCTGGGGAAGCCGATCCCGACGACGCAGCCGACCGTAGTCAATCCACCGACTCCCGCTAAAACGACGACGGCCGTTTCAGCCGAGCCGAAGCCGGTGAAAAAAGTCGTATCTACACCTAAGATCACGTTTGTTGGTGAGTATGATCAGGGTTTTATGTAGGAATCACACTCCGAATGGGGTTAACATGTCCAATTTGGAATGCAGATATTTATTTGTTCCTTATTTTCAGAATCGGGCTGTATGTATGACTATTATTTTTTATCAAAACTGCAATTCATTCACTATAATTGTATCCCCCGCGACGAAGTCGGCGGGGATACTATGGTTTCATGTCTGTCCAGCCGCCGCTGCAGACACTTTCCCTTCCGCTCTATAACTGTACCCCTAATTGACCTAGCGTGACCAAACATGGTCTACTTACACATCTTGGGGAGAAGGTGCGCAGCGTACCAAAACCAAGTCACTACAACCTTTATCTTAATTTGACCTTTACATTGACCTTGATCATATTTCCCTTCCGCTCTATAACTCGGCCCTTAATTGACCTAGCGCTACCAAACTGCGTATACTTACACATCTTGGGGAGAAGGTGTGTCGCGTACCAAAACCCCTAAGGCAACCAATTTTAACATACTTGCACATCTAAGGCAGATGAGTTGTGTAACAAACCTTTGTCTTTGTGACTTATTTAACTTTACCTACCTTCTACGTCCTTACAGAGATATTTCATTCATACTAGATCACGGAGGATACAGTTGGCGACAACTGCCCTTTCTAGTTTTAACACAAAACTGACAGTGGTAAAGTTTGCAGACAGATTATTGTTTCACAAAAATTATCAGTTACTAGACACGGATAAAACCCTGAAAATATGCACGAAAGGGCGAACCTCCTGTGTAATGTACTGTTTTGCAAGCTTGCTAGTGGTCTGCAAGCGTGCGTGCATGCAGTGCCCATACACCACATACGCGCACAACACGCACGCATATGCGGTGCTTGACGATACTTAACGGCCAGTTTGGTTTCTTCGCTGCCTTCAGGTGGCACGAAGCTGACCACCACCGAGGCAGGTCCGAAGGAGGTCAAAACTGAGCAGGACAAGATGGACACCACGCCAGCTGCCGGCGCAGGTGGAGATGCGAAGGAAATTGCCCCCCTCCTTCCAAAAGAGAAGGAGATTGCCCCCGTTGGTGAGTGTCTAACGATGCGACCAGAGTAGTGGTATCGCGAACGAATCTGTTGGCGGAATGCAGGCACATGTTGCGAGCGAGTGGCATCGGGACGTGTGCAATTTTATGTACGTGGTGGTGTGAGGTTGGAGAATTCGTTAATTCCTATTGACGATAGCATTAACCCAAATGACAACTAGCTTATGATAACAGCTGCAGTTGGTGTCACGTTCTTAGCTCACCTTGACATCGTCAAGTTGAGCTATTGCCATGGGTCGTCGTCCGTCGTACGTCCGTCTGTCCGTCCGTCAACATTTGGTTTTGGTCAACGATAACTCAGGAACCGTTTGACCCACATGTTTGAAATTAGGTGTAGTTGTTACTGCTATGCTCCCATATGGAACGTCCTATTTTGAAGCACGCCAGTCGACGTACTTTCGAGCCACGGCAATTTTTTGGCAAAAATGGGAATTGCCATTAGTCGGTTCAGGTTCAACGGATTTTGATCATTTTTGGTATGTGAATGAATAAGGGCTAAGGGTTCTGATATTTAAAAAAAAATTATGCAAATTAGGTAGGGTTTGGCAATGATATAGCATATTATATAAACACAAACAGTCTGTGGTGTCACACTCATCTGGTTCGTTTTACAAGATTTCATTGACAATATCTTTAATGCAAAATTGGTATTTCCTCTCCACTCTGCCAATAAAACGTCTATATTAAAGTAAATATTTACAAAACATGTCCGAACGCAGCATAACCTATTTATTTCAAGCGCCATCGCTACAAAGCGGGTATAGCGCCATCTAAGGTCACAAATTGTGATTCATTTTGGTTTATAAATTATTATTGCGATATACAGATGACAATCGTTTCTATAATGTACGTCGATGGTTGCTCAATTAAAACTGACTTTTTCTTACTCACTCATTTGTGTCCTTTTTTGTGGTGAGCTACAGTGTCATTGACACTTTCATTAGTTCGTCTGATCTCTTGGTCAGAATGAGCTCCCGCTATGACGCTGGTTTCCATATGTTCATCATCCATCTGTCCTGTGTCTGTTCCTGTCCTGTTACTGTCCTGTGTCCTGTTCTCCCTCTGCCTGTGGCGTGTCAACTGTAGTGGCACAAAGCTAAAGTGCTTGTTGAATTTGCGTGATTCTAGGCGAGGAATATCTCGAGGAGGTGAAGAATGATGAGGGCAAGGCCATCAGCTTTCTGTGCAAGCTGTGCGACTGCCGATTCACGGACCCGAATGCCAAGGAGATGCACATGAAAGGACGCCGTCACAGGCTTCAGTACAAGGTGCAGATTCCCCAACATAGTTTATCGCTTCCCGTGCACTTGGAAAGCTTACCACTAGTTCTCATCTCTACTCCATCCTGTTGTAAAAATTGGGTGGTGGGAAATTTATCTCGTAACCATATGACGAATACATGTGGGAGTGAAGAACGAGAAGTGTTCTGCTCACAAATTTATCATCTTATTGTGTCTTATACCATATAGTTTATAACTTAAATACGACCTTATTACCTTGTGCCCTCATTCCATCTCATGTTTGACAGTAGAGAAGAATTATTCATTGATGTCATGAGTTTTTGGTTCTTCTGGTTGCCAGCTGTTGTTGTAAGCGAATTGCTCATTGTTGTCGTGCAGAAAAAGGTCAACCCAGATCTGCAGGTGGAGACGAAGCCCAGCCTGCGACAGAGGAAGGTTCAGGAGGAGAAACTGCGCAGGCAGCTGCTGTTGGAGGAGTACTGGAGGCGGGATGCCGAGCATCGCTGGAGAGAGGAGATGAGGTAGGTGGACGTGGTCATGGACCAGTGATTAGTTGCTGGGTTGCTAGGTATTTTATACGGAGTTTATTCATCATCTAGATGCATTTTTTGCCAACATTTTGATTCGTATGCCTGGAAACTTTGCTCGAAACAGCTGAAAGTGTGTGTATGCGATAGTAACGATCTTGTATCAATTTCTGACTCGGACCTGAATTCAAAATTGAGTAACTCGTGGAGTGAAGCGTGCGCATTTTACGTTCCGCGACGGTGACGCGAGTGAGTGACATCGTGCGTGATGTGTGCGTTTCAGTCACTGCAGGGTGTATGAGGATGACCGTTGGCGCTACGGCATGGAGATGGAGTATGGCGCACAGGCACCGTTCCCCGGCCATGGAGGAGGACCCATGCCCGTAAGTTACCCCAGTAGCAAGTTTGTGCAGACGACACATGTCTATGCTCTGTCACTTTCGATAAATAACACTGCTGATGTTAGGATATGTACTGTTTTCTGTGCATTGAGTGATTGGCACCAATCAGCAAGCACATGTAGGTTGAATTTGTGGTTGCGCATATAGTGCTGACAGGCTTCTATATTCCGATACTGCTCGATACTGCTACTTCTTATGTTCTGCTACTGCTATCGTCTTATGTTCTACTACTGCATGCTGT